AAATGGAGACGGCTGACAAGAACAGCGGACCCTGCGACGGCGCGGGATAAACGCTAGGGAGAAGAAGAAGAAGAAGTGCAGTCAAGACTGCTCGAACCTAGGATGATTAAATGGTGTGCTTGACCGAACGTGAGCGACTGAAGCTGCTGTATGTTACGTGAGCCTGCGAGACCTGCAGACGTAAGAGCATAATGTATCAGTACAAACACTACATGTTGTGTAAATGTGGTGTCTTGGTCAGGGGCAGGACATGCGCCAGAGTTCCGAATTGAAATTTGTCGCGAAGGAACACATTATTAGAAAGACCTATCTGAAAAACAGAACCTAAAATCAAACCAATAGTGAAAGCCTTTGTTACTCAAGACTGAGTCCCCAATATGGAAGTTCAAATGCCTGCGATATCAATACCTCAGACACTTCTTTTGAGAGAGACGAATATGTACCACCAAGGTCCCTCCAAAGTTCCTCACACCACTACAGGGTGTCCCAGAATTATGGGCGCCAAAATTTAGAAACTTATAAGGTAAAAGTAATTTACGAAATTCACTTCGCCCGCTGTTACTAGGTAGCGCGAGTAGGTATTATTCCAATATGCATGGTTACTGAAGTAAAACTTCTATCTTTCAGATGGCGGAGGCTCATTCAATGTCACTTGCAATCACTGGCATACGAGAGGCAAAATTGTATAGGAAATTTTTGCGATTCCTATAATCTTCGTGCCGAAGGCTACTAAACGATACATAGGAGAAGATTCAATCAAAGGCAAATCAGGAAGGGAAGAACGCCAGCGTTGCTAAGGATAGGACTACTGAATTGTTCGTTTGCAAGTCGACCGTGATTAAGGGTGAAGCATCAAAAAGGATGGCAAAGGAGCAATACTTATCGATGTGTGGCGGACATTCAAGCAGAAGCTCCACTGCCATTCCAACTGTATGCAGTAATGCCGTTTCATTTCTGATCTCAACACACAGTATAGGGCCAAAAAATGTAGAGGATTGTTAAGTCCTTGAGTGGAGACACGCAATCCTTCATCGTTCTCTCTAACCAAAAATTTCTTACGAAAAAAACATTCGTTGACAAAAGAAACTTACTTACATCGAACGTGCAATCTCTCGCAAAAAAAGATGCTACAAGAACTTAAAATGGTGCATTTTGGGAGAGTCACGGGTGAGGTTAAGACGCCCGTGGATTCGTCGGACCAGGGTGAAAATTGTCAATGAATCTGGTGAATCTGCTCTCAAAAGGCATCCTGATAGACGTAAGGGAGCATTGATCCTACTCCACTTCATAAAACAGCTCGTAACCTTCTCAGTATGACGTTACTCCAGCCAAAAAAATGCAACCTCGCCCACTTGCGGTGCCAACGCGAGCTGTCCGACTTCGTTGGTGAAAAGGAATGGCCATCGTGCTTTACGGATCCTAACTCACTTGACTCCCCCGTATGGTCCCTGATAAGGAGAGGACTTGTCGACTTCACAGTCCCAGTTTGGAATCTTAGAAAGCAAAGCTGAAGAAGGGGTTAGAAAAATTGAAGGAGGATTCTTGCGTGCAACACGCGAAGAGTTCGAAAGCAAACTTTAAAATGGCCTCTACCCGCGCTCATAAGGACGTGATTGTAACATTTTGTAGCACATAATGTCTGCAAACGTGCATATCTATTCCATGGTCCTTTTCAGCCGATATATAATTACATCGCCGTGAATTAGTGCCCACAATTTTGGGACACCGTGTACATGGACAGGTTCTTGCCATGAGCCGGTTAACGTTAGGGAAAAACTGCAAAAAGCTTCCGAATCCATATATATATAAGTTACGTTCAGGGCTTTTTCTTGGATTCTCACCGAGACAAAGAGCAGAAAAAATGTATGAAGAGAGATCACAACGAAGCCTTACTAAAGCATTCCTCTCCACTTACTAGCATTAGTTCAGAAAGAGTCTTCCTACACATTTGTGCGCGTGCAACAGCAATGATTACATAGAAAGGATAAAGGATGAAGCTTTTGGGCGTTAATCAATCCTGTCCGAGGGATGCGCACATGCGACCCCGCATTCGAATTCCTATAAGAATCGTAGTAGCGTACTGAATGTGTATGGACAATATAAAACGACTTGCGGGGACTAGCCGATGTACGAGCACTCCTCCTCCCAGATGGACCTGGTGAAGCAACCCCGTGGAGACGAAAGGTTTGGTTGGCTAGGGCGGATGTCGGTCCGAGATTCGAAACCGTGACCATGAGTGTAAGATAGTACTTCATTTGCTATTACAACACCTCCGCCCATGACAACATATATTCCTACAAAATAAAGTACCGTTTGTGGCAGCTGACTGATGGCATTGAAAAGATCAGCGGAAGACATCGAACTCCGGCCAAGTTCAACAATGTCGTCTTCTCTCATTTTCATTATTGAAATGATGACCTGAAAAATCAAGTTCGAGCTTCGAAGTTATTGTGACTTGAACGTGCTATATGTTTATAACGAATGTAAACGTAAATTAATGAGCGGGTATTTCTTTTCATTCCGCCATTCAATGAGGGCTACAGCGACACGAACTTACTAAATGGTACCTCTTACAGTTAGAATTCAACGCGAACAGTAATAGACATCTTTCGATAAAGTGCTAGCATCGCGGTAACAGAACCTACCGTCAATATTACACTCCCCAAGAAATGAGGGCCGACGTTATGGGTTTACATTAAAGTGGTTTCTGCGATTTCTCCCTTTTATGAACCTGTGTTCTTCAAAGATTTAAGGTCTGCGATTTCTCAATTTTGTGAACCTGTGTCCCCCAAAGACGGCTTAAGGGACGCTGTTGGGTAGAAAAACGGCTTAGACAGGGTGTGATGAGGGCCTTGAAACCGGGTTAGCCGACGTTCACACCCAAGACGGACGAGTTCTTAAGCGTTGTGAAAGCTGTAGAGTTTGCCAAATTCGCACCGGGATCCTCATCTTGGAGAGAGCTCATTACAGCCACTGTATAAAAAGGCGCGCGCCTTTGTTTCTTATTTGTTTATTACACAGGTTCTCTCCTGTGTGGGGAAAAAACAAACAAACAAAAAGCCTCTTGGATCAGCACGAAAAATCCCAAAATAAATCGAAAAAATGAATGTTTTGCCGTAACTAACGAGCTTGCTCCGTTCCTCAAGCTGTGTGGTTTTCAGTTGCCACCGGCGTAAAGCCAGGGGTCAGAGCATTTGCTGCGAATGCTTTACGTCATCGGTCTTCTTTCAGACATCCAAGGTGGGTTACCTGTTGGGTTTTGCAAGACCTTTCTAGATAACTACATTCAGGAAGGCTACAGCTGAACTAAGCTGAGGTCTAAATTCGTTTGATCAGGATGAATCCCGAACACTTTTTGACTTCCAGGCTCTGACGAAAGCGACTGGGCGAACCTTTAGCCGAATAAAGAAATTATGACTTTTTGGCCGAGGCTACAGAGAAGAACACTTGAGACATCGTGAACTGTACCTCTGAATCGGGCCGCGTGTTGCACAGCTTAAGGCTGAAGGCGTAGCAAAGAACATGATCTAAGGTCATGCGCCGAAAAAATGAGTAAGATTGTTAACAAAATAAGCTCATACCCGAAAAATGCTGACGCTGCCTGTGTAAAAAACGAAGTCCCAGACACGCATCAAGGTTCTTGTCGGGAATACCGTCGCAAGCAATGTCAATAACCAGTTCATTGTGACCAAAGACACTTCGACATCGAGCTCGTCTATGAGCCGGTTGAGGTCCGGCACGTGGGATTTCATCAGATGTCTCGTTACCCGCTCGTCTGCCTAGTCAAGTACAAACAGAAGTTAGAGCTCAATGTAATACAAATTAATAGACAGAAAATAATAAGTTGGGAAATAATAGAGGTCAATAGATGTATGGAAAAAAGACAACAGATGACCGATAAGGTAAGAAAGTGTGGCCAAAATGTCTTGTCAAAATACGGGAAGTTTTGCAGTTTTTGCAGAGAAGAGCAAAAGCTGGGAGAGTCAGAAGCTGCTACCTTTTTGTCATGAGCCATGCACAATCACATTCGGATTCTAGTACGCTTCTGATTAAAAGCTGAAAGTACAACGGAAAAAGTCTAGACCTGGACACCCAAAAGCGTCTGGCTGTAATAGTTTGGTGGCAGAATATCCTCAATTAAAGCTGTCATCATCCAAAATGTTGTCTCCTCGGAACAAATCAACAAAAGCATGGCCACGATTACACCTGAAAAGCAGATAAGCATGGCCACGTTTACACCTAAAAAGCAGATAACATTCTATTTTATAGGAGATAGCACCAGATTGAATGTTGACATTGTAGCGTTTTCTCCTTTGTGAGAAAAATGCCGAACTTTTGATTACGAATTTTCATTAAATTAAACCTGAATGGGTGGGTTCAAGGCCTCTCCTGTAATTCTGGTGATATAAATGAACAAACTTCTGGAAACGTTACTTTTTCGTAAGCCGTTATTACATTACAAAAGTGACTCATCTACGCAAAAGTTATGTGAAGTGTTTTACGAGATGAGTGAGAGATACACCTGTGAAGATCCAAGCGGCTCTTCAACAATGTATTATATGTAAATACAGTAAGCTCTCTAGCCGGATGAAGTCAGTTCCATTTTGGAAAACGTAGCAGAGCTGAGAAATCCGACACAGCTCATTCTTGATATTAATATTATTATTATCGTTCTCAAAAAATGGAGCGACTTGGCCACACACAGGATTGACTAGTGCCTTCGCTGCAAGTGCTCTATATCAGTGACAAGACATGCTCGCTGTGAAATAATGTCTGAAGAAAAGCGGCAGTTACGCAGAACAAATGCAAAAGGGTAAAGTGTGTTGAGTCAACATCAGACATTCGAACCGGAGGCAACAGCCAGGAATATACTTTCGCAGATTCCAAGAATTGCGAAACGTGCCCAGTTACGGAGCAAACTCGATTATACTCACCCATTCCCTCACAGAAACCGAGATCTGGATAAATAAAAGCGACTGCTTTCAGAACCCTTCTCAATGCATCGATTCCGGTACAATTTTTCTTCCAGAAGCAGATGTTGTTGGGTAGTGTTCTCAGTAGACTACGTTCTATTTGAACACCTAAATAAACAGATACAAATCGAAAAAGCCTTGATGAACGCAGTCCCAGTCCGACGCTTAACGTGCGACCGAACACTCCAGCTTTCGTCATCAAGGTAAAGTAAAGAAAGGGAGACGAACAAGCAACAAGAAAGCAATTAAAACAACAATTGTCAAATCATGGCTCATTTACCACTATTTGTTCAAAATAGAGGGCCGTTGTAGGCGGGTGGTACTTTGAGAACATAGACGGAGCGACTCAGGATGGTAGTCACGAAAGTAACCATTCGCTTCTTGATCTACCGCATCGGTTCACGTTGTATCAATTATACTAACGTAGCTACAATACTGCTCCTAATGTATGGTCAACCGACGGTTTGCGACGGATTAATCCGTCGCAAACCGTCGCATCGCCATAACTTCAGCTAAAGTACTCCAATCACGCTAAAACTAATATCATCGGAAAGCACTTCTCGTGAAGAATACAAATGTGTAATAATCTTCCAATTTCCTTAAATTTTTCGCCTTCTTTTCCGGGAAAAACGGAAATTGAGTCTCTCAGCACCTGAGGTGCAGCGGGAGTGTGTGCGACTCATGTTTACACCGATATGCATTCCATGTGGGTTCGGATCCTCAGTCGTGCCCAGCGCTTGCAAATGCTGAAACAACATTGCTGGCAAGCAAAGAGTGCTTTTCTGTGCTAATTTGATCCGGTGTATAGTGTCAATGCCCCACAGTTACCGTCAAATGGGAATTTGAACAAGCGAAAGTTTGCTTGCGATTTAAGGTAGTACAACTAAACTTGATATACACAGTCAAACAGTATTTATCATGGCGTGGTCGTCTCCTTCTGCCGGGTGTATGTCGTTTGGCGCGGCCCTTCGCACCCACCTTGCCATTGGGGCGCATAGGCTCTTAATTGCTTCTTTGGCGCCGCCCA